AGGATTTGTGTTTGCTGCTGTTCCACCCCAGAACAGGAACTGCTCACTGACCTGCAGGAGGATTTGTGTTTGCTGCTGTTCCCCCCCAGAACAGGGACTGCCACTGACCTGCAGGAGGATTTGTGTTTGCTGCCATTTTCCCAGACTGCCCACTGACCTGCAGGAGGATTTGTGTTTGCTGCCATTTTCCCCAGAACAGGGAGTGCCCACTGACCTGCGGGAGGATTTGTGTTTGCTGCCATTTTCCCCAGAACAGGGACTGCCACTGACCTGCAGGAGGATTTGTGTTTGCTGCCATTTTCCCAGACTGCCCACTGACCTGCGGGAGGATTTGTGTTTGCTGCCATTTTCCCCAGAACAGGGACTGCCCACTGACCTGCGGGAGGATTTGTGTTTGCTGCCATTTTCCCCAGAACAGGGACTGCCCACTGACCTGCGAGAGGATTTGTGTTTGCTGCCATTTTCCCAGACTGCCCACTGACCTGCGGGAGGATTTGTGTTTGCTGCCATTTTCCCCAGACTGCCCACTGACCTGCAGGAGGATTTGTGTTTGCTGCCATTTTCCCCAGACTGCCACTGACCTGCAGGAGGATTTGTGTTTGCTGCCATTTTCCCCAGACTGCTCACTGACCTGCAGGAGGATTTGTGTTTGCTGCCATCCCACCCCAGAACAGGGACTGCTCACTGACCTGCAGGAGGATTTGTGTTTGCTGCCATCCCACCCCAGAACAGGGAGTGCCACTGACCTGCGGAAGGATTTGTGTTTGCTGCCATTTTCCCAGACTGCCCACTGACCTGTGGGAGGATTTGTGTTTGCTGCCATTTTCCCCAGAACAGGGAGTGCCACTGACCTGCGGAAGGATTTGTGTTTGCTGCCATTTTCCCAGACTGCCCACTGACCTGTGGCAGGATTTGTGTTTGCTGCCATTTTCCCCAGACTGCTCACTGACCTGCAGGAGGATTTGTGTTTGCTGCCATTTTCCCCAGACTGCCCACTGACCTGCGGGAGGATTTGTGTTTGCTGCCATCCCACCCCAGAACAGGGACTGCCACTGACCTG